CTCCCAACGTTTTCAACACTTAGAATAATTACAGTCTCCTTTGACTTGCTGTAGTGTATGCCGATTTTACTCCTGTTATCAACAACTCCACATTATCAAATGTGCTCTTATTTGGAATCTTGTCTGGCCCGATGTTAGGTTAAACCAAAGAGAAAACTCACTTAAAATTAAACATACTCGAGGTGTGATGGTACACACCTATGACCCCAGAAAGCTAGAGCAAGACATTCCCAAGTCTGAGGTCAGTGTGAGCTATGTAATGATACCCCTGACTCAAAAACAAAACAATAATATAAGCAGCTTTTTAATTTATAATCATTGAAATTGTTGCATGTATTTTTGTTTTCTATTCTCCTTTCCAAGAATTTCCTGCCAAAGTCCAGGAATCTTTTCAGGAGCCACATTTTAAGAGATTTATTTTATTTAAAATGTAATGGTTGATTGACTAATTGACCAGTTGCTATGTGTGTGGTGTGTATATGCTTGTGTGTATAAGCAAATATGTGTGCAGCTGCTGTTTGTTGGGCAGAGGCCATGAGAGGGTGCCTTCTCTCTTGGAACTGGAGTTACAGGCATCTAGGAGACATCCAGCTTATTATGTGGGTATCTCACTCAGCAAGTGGTCTCTTTTTTAAATTTATTTAAATTTGAAACAAGCTTGTTTTACATGTCAATCCCAGTTCCCATAGTACCCTCCCATCTCCCCTGCTCCCCTACCAACCCCCATCCCATCCCCTTTCTGCTCCCCAGGGAGGGTGAGGCCTTCCATGGGGAGTTTTCAAAGTCTGTCATATCATTTGGAGCAGAACCTAGGCCCTCCCCCATGTGTCTAGGCTGAGGGAGTATCACTCTATGTGGAATGGACTCCCAAAATCCATTTGTATACCAGGGATAAATACTGATCCATTACCAGAGGGCTCATAGACTTCCCAGTCCTCCTAACTAACACCCACATTCAGGGAGACTGGGTCCTATGCTGGTTTCCCAGCTATCAGACATAGATGCATGAGATCCCCCTTGTTCAGATCAGCTGTTTCTGTTGGTTTCTCCAGCCTGGTCTTGACCCCTTTGCTCATCACCCCTCCCTCTCTGCAACTGGATTTCAGGAGTTCAGCTCAGTGTTCATATGTGGGATCACTGACCCATCATTATACCAGACCAAGGATCAGCAGTTGAAATGAACTGTACACCTACGGTTTCCCTGGAAGAACACTGTAAGGATAGATATCACCCTGCTATCCACCCACCCTCCCCACCCACTCATGCCCACATTCATGACCTTATCTGGTGACTCTAGAGTTGACACCGTAGGGAACTCATAGTTATGCCTGTCACTGAAGCAACAGAACTTCCTATTCTGAGGTTCATGTCTCCCTTGATGCTGCTCCAGGCCTGAGTTTCGGGCCTTTCTCTGCTTCTGAGCTGGGATTTGGGGCTCTCACTGATGCTGCTCAGGGCTTGTAGCTTGAACCTACCTCTCCAAACAGGTCTTCCTAACATTCATGGAATTTCAGCATTAACTGAAGATAATGTGTGTATGATATTATCAATGTACACATTCCATATTTTGCAAATATATAAACTTCAGAAAACTTCCAATTAAAATGCATACAGAAATGATGATTTCTCATTTTATGAATAAAAAGTGCCTTGGGGATATACCAGGAAGGTATCAATGCAGTGATGGGTGTTGGAGAGTCAATCTCTGGGATTATTTTGAGGGTAATTTTAGTAGTTCTATCCGAATGATGGTCTTTTTAAAGACTGCTATTTTTCTGAGTGACACATATGTCAGTAGAGCAGAATAAGAGCCTAATAAAAACATATCTGATTATAAATGAGATTTTCCAGTAAGTTGCTTTTCACTAGCTGGGGCACTTGGCATCAGCCTTGAAAGCTAAGGTTCCCAATGATCTGCCTGAGAAGTTAATGACATAGTTCCTGTGACAAAGAAGTCTGGATCCAAGGGTATTATATAATTTTGTGGATTTTTAAATATTCATTTTAATAGTTCCTTGTTTCTGGAATTGCTCTTCTCTCAAGCCATTTCCTACATGTCATTGACTATGTCATCTATATGTACAGATGCCTATAGATGCTAAAAAGGACCAGCTACGTAGGGAAATTAAACTCGTCCCCCAAATGCACAGTGAATTTTCCATGCTGCCTTGTTATGGTTGTCACAAAAATAGAGGGCAGAAACACAGCACCTGCAGCTGTGGACCACCTGACATAGGACAACTGCAGCCCCATTTGGAGTCCTCCTCCATCCTGTGGTGATAGAAACATCTGTCAGGATTGGTACTGTCTAGGCCCAGCAGTCTAAGATCTCATCATCTCTCATGAAGCTTGGCAGCTGAGATTACACATAAACTCACAACACAAAGAGCTACCTGGTCCCAGCAGACACACCATTTATAGATACTTCCCTCAGCAGTGGAGATGGGAGGCTGAGAACTTAGAACTATCTTGATTTGTGCATAACTGCCCTAGGACTTTGAATTAAAAAGAAAAAACACAAACATAGAAATAATTCTACAACTCAGAAAGTTTACATATGCAAGCAATCAGATACATGCAAATGCATAGAACTAAAAAAATCACTAGATATATGAAGGTCATTCATAGGAGCATCATATATGTTAGCAAAAATATTGGAACTAATTGTCATCATGGAATAGGTACATAACAGATAATAATAATATATGCCTTGTATACTATAACTAATGAGGTGGAATAGCCTATAATCTAACAACATGGCAAGCCGCGAAGGGCAAAGGACAACTTGCAAGAGTTGGTTTTCTCTTTCCACCACGTGGACTCTTAGCATCCAACTGAGTTTGCCAGGCTCAGCAGCAAGTTTCATTAACTGATGAGCCATCCTGCTGACCAGAGACTGGTGTTTTTTTAGAGAATTTGAAAAGGGGTGGAGGCTAGAGGAAGAATTGAAGGGGGATGTGGAGATGGATTTTGTCAAAGCACATTATATTTTTGAATGAAATTCTCAAACAATAAAAAAATAAATTAACAGGGGATTTTGTTTTTGCAATGACTTAGCCAGCTACACCCCCACTCTGTGTCCCTTCCACAGAACTTTTCCCCCATGGTACTGGAGATAGAACCAGAGCATTGTACATGCTAGGCAACTCCTACCAGTGAGCTCTAGCCCAAGCCCTTTGCATTTTTTAGAAAAGTTCTCTGTAAGTTGCCCAGGGTGACCTTGAACTTGATCTGTAACCTGGCGAGGGCTTGAACTTTTGGTCCTTCTGCTTCAGCCTCCCGTGTGACTGGGTTGACAGACCTCTGGCACCAGGTCTGGCTTACTGTGCTCTTCTTTCATACAACTTACTGTGCTATCCAGTCTGTGCTGGTTAGAGTCTAGTCTAAAAGAATGTGATGGGGCTTGTCTTAAATAAATCTTACATTGCTTTTAAAGCTCTAAAGGGCAAACATGAATGAAGCCCTAGAACAGCAACTGGAGTCTGGATAAAGCCAATGAATGGAGAACAAAACAAAATAGATTGTTGAGATAATATCCTGCATTTGTTTACCAATGTAACATGTGTCCATTTAGCTCTTACTATGTATGAGACACCGTAGGAGACAGACACTGCAAACAGGAATAAAGGATCCTGGGCCAGGTCTCTGTTCTCAAGGAACTTGCATTCTGGTGATTTCTTGGAATAGCTCATAGACTGAAATACAGCCCCATGTAAGTATGATGGGCCAGAGGATGACTGACAGGCTCTTCCAGCAAACCCCCCCATGATCCTCCATGCTCCTCCAAACTGAGTGCTCTCTGGAGGATGGTCTTATCTGCTGGGGCAGCTGTTGTTCCAACCTTGACTTCTGTGTCCCAGCTGACACACTGGCTGTGGGGGCTAGCTAAGTCCTTCCTAGGCATTGGCTTTTGACCAGAGCTCTCTGAGTGTTCTGCACAGAGGAGCTTATGAAACCCATCCACAGACATACAAACCACAGCTCACTCTGCTTATTCTTTTCTGAATAGAAAAATGAAGCCCGGTGAGGCTAGGTAACCTTTTCCAAGGTTCACCATGTGGACAGCAGGTGAAGAAGGTCTTGTAGGGACACAGGAAAAGTCTGATGAGTGGCCTCTGCATCAAGGGGGTGGGACTACGGTGAGGCAAGTGACACAAGGTGCACAAAAGAGGGGCCAGAGCTTATCTTTGTTTAGAATTTTGTTATTTTATTTGTCATGGCTTTCACATTTATTTTGATTTGAGCTTTGTTGGAAAAGGGTTACTTTGTTTTTAATTGTGTGTCTGTCTGCGTCTGTGTGTCTGTGTGTCTATGTGTAAAGCACTTAAAATATTTATGCATTGTGCTACTTGCCTATATGTGTCGGCCATCTCCTTCAATCCTCCCAACAAGTCAGTGAGTTGGTAAATGAAATGCCCAAATTGTGCCTTGAGAAATTGAGGCTCAGAAGGTTTTAGTAACTTCCCACAGATGCACAGCAAGCAGACAAACGAGCTACACTTTAGACATGGCTCCCTGCCAACCCTGTACCCTATGAATTTAAGCACCGAGATGGAAAATTTGTTATTTTTCTGAGCTGGAAAACAAATCTTTGTCTTGAACTTACTGCCAGGGAGTTTGTCTTGCCTTGAGTCCCCCATGTTGAGTGATGACAGACATTCTGAAGCTGTCCCTGACTTGTGTCTGTCCTTGCCTCCCTCCTCTGACTTTCATTGCCGCGAAGGCTTCACAACACAACCCTGACTGCATTGTTTTCTGTTTTATGGATCTATACTGTCCTTTGTTGTAAATACATTTAGAAATGATTGTGGCTTTCTCCTGGTGTCTCGACGTTTTTAAGTGATTTATTTTGATAGTACTTTAGCTTCATGATTTCAAATATTAAGTTACTGAGTTCAGGTGGTCTTATATTTTCTCCATAAATGTGTTTATGTCACTCCATAGACTGAGAAATTTCATTCCAGGGTTTTCTCCCCTTTCTTCATTTGATTTTCCTGCAGGAGGAGAACTGAGTTCTTTGAACTTGTCAGTAAAGGAGACTACGATTGGAACATCAAAAGTCACCGTGACGTGTTTCGGTAAGAAAAAGCATGCATTTGTATGGGTTTTCCATTATTGGACATTTAGGTATGCTTTTCTGTGTGTATTGGAAAAGCTTCAGATGATCAATTGACTAGAATCTAAGTAATTATCCCAAGTATGTCCAAGCAGGCAATCTCACGGAGATTATCTCCTATGAGGAGACACCACTGTGTGTTACCCATAGCCACACTCCCTCCTGTACTCACAGAACCTAAAATGAGACTCCTTAGAGTGTGTTGAGCAGTCTGGTAGCTTTGTGATAAACACAGACTCCTGAACCCTTATTTTACCTTGAGACAGTTAATCTCTCTGGGCTTTTGTTTGTAAATAAGAATAATAGGGTCCCCCTCTGAGGCCAGTGAAGGCTCTGCGAGGCAGCAGTTGGTCCTTTAGTTAGGAAAGCGCTCAGTATAGAAGCAACGGGAAAGCAGCACAGCCAGATGCTGGCTACAAAGCATCAGAACCCAACAACAGACCAAGTTGTCTCCCTTTGCACAAGCTTAGCATAAGGGTGTTTGGATACTGCTCTATCCAAGGGGGGTGGCTGATGCCTGCCGGAGCTGCCTGGCTCGCCCTGAACAACCCATTGTTAGCTGGGACTCTGCCCACTCCAATCCTGCTCTGCCATCTGGGCAGCAGACATGTTTCCAAGACACTGAGATCCAGCAGGGTTTAAAACTCTAGCTGACAGCAGGACGGCCCTCTGACCTTTCACACTGAACCCTTTCATTGGAAAGCAGCCAGCCAGGGCACCTCCCAGCTCCCATCCTGTGCTAACACTTCCAGTGTTAGCTGAAAAACAGCAGACCAGGGACCATAGATGTGCCTTCATTTTTTACCCTCCCACCTATCTGAGAGTACTCTGAATGATTTGAATTGTTTCCAGTGTTTCCATGGTTCAATGTGAATCCTAGTTTATTCTGCCCCTGGAAAGTCTGTGTTTTATGCACCCAAGATTAAGGAGAACCTCAGCTGGGCACGTTTTTGAGAATGTGTATAGAGCATGGTGGCCCCCAGGTAGTAACCCAGTGACACAGTGTGGCTCTCTCTGGTGAATCTTGGCTCAGTGGAACAGTGAACATGAAAGAGCTCCCTACACCACGTGTATCTCACCTCTTTGGTGTGGGTTTCTGTTCTTTGTCATCAGGGTTAAGTCAGTAAGCATATTCGCTGGCCACACAGTGTTATATACCCATCACCTTGCTTATAGTTACGCTGGGTGGTGGCGGGGTGTGTGTGTGTGTGTGTGTGTGTGTGTGTGTGTGTGTGTGTGCTCATTGCACATTATTTAACCACAGCCTGCTTGACTTAGGTGTGGAGAGAGGACTGTTTGCTTTGCTGGATTTGCTGCAGACAAAACAAAAGGACCCAGGGAGGATGTGAGAGGTCTTTGTCTTCTAGGCAGTAGTGACTGCATGGCAGGGTGACTTTAAACAGCGTGGGGCCTTGTTGAGGGAAGAAGATGTGGGCTGACCCCCACTCCATTTTATTTATTTATGGATCTAGGGTTTGTTTAGGAATGCAGCAGAGGATTATTCAGGCTGTTCGGTTCTGTTTTTCAGATCGATGTTAATGACAGCCTGTGACCTTGGAGCCGTGACCAAACCGTGGGAGATCTCCAGACAGGCAAGTGGTGATTAATGGCACAGCTCAGCAGAAGGGGGCGGGGTGTTGGGGGTGCCGAGCACTGAGAACAGAATCTCTGCATAGGTGCTGGCCTGCACAGAGCCACAGCCGGCTAAGTCAGAAAGCCATCTTACCCCACAGTCTTCCTTCCCATGCACCCACTGGGCAAGGCTGTTTCTGGCTGCAAGATTTTTGTAATGTGCTAAATCTGAATAATGTTTTGACCGTCCTTAAGGCAATCGGTTCACAATACTGTTTTTGAATAAGTAATCACGTTTTAGCACAAGAACCTGTCTATAGCTCCTGAAAATCAAGACAGGAAAAGTGAGATTCTGTTTTGTTTCCAAGTACTATTTAAGTATCAGAGGGGCTCTATGGCCAAAGTGTGCTGTGTCCCATTTAATTTTTATCAAGACTAATTGTGGTTTTACAGTTTCTCAATGCGCCCAAGCATTATTTTTAAGCAATAGCAGTTTTGAATGAAGTAGGTTCCTAACTGCTTGATTATCAAGATCCTTGATTACTAAGAGGGGTTAATAGCTCTTCTTCTCTTTAACTTAATTTTATTTTAGTTTTTTCTTGAGGCAGTAGTCTCTAGGCTGGTCTCAAAGCCTCTGGCTCAAGTAATGTTCCTGCCTCAGCCTGGCTAGCAACAAACTCAATAAGCTTTGTGACACCTATTATGGAGACTGTGGGATCCTAAAATGATATTTGGGGGAAAATAGTGTATATTCATATATTAACAAATGGCTGGTTTGTATGTGTTGCTTCATTCAATGTATGGTAGGTAGTCAGTACACAGGCTGAGTAACCATAACACAAAGATATCATGCCATAATCCTATAACCCATGAGCCTATAACCATTACCTGTGAAGAAAAGAACAGTTTTCCACGTAAAAGAGTAGATGTAAGTAAGAATTTGCTAAGGGAGAAGAGCCTGAACTGATTATCCAGGTGGGTCCCAACTCCAGTCACAAATGTCCTTGTAAAAGAGCAGAAGGAGAACAGAATTCAGAAGAGAAGGCAATGTGAGAGTCAGGTACTGGAATGGTAACGTCTACACCCCAAGAAGTGCTGGCAGCTACCAAATCCTGAAAAGAGACAAGGAGCAGACAGAGCCTTCAAAGGAACATGGAGCCAACCCCTAGGCTCCTGCCTACCGCCTTGATGTAGAACACTGGCCCCAAGAACTATGCAGGGATAACTTCTTGTTATCTTAGCCACAGAGTTTGGAGTAATATTTTGGAGTTTCAGGATAATCAACTTGGTCATTACATTCACTTCACAAATGGGAAGGGTGGGGCTTAGAAAGGATAAGTAGCCCAAGGTCTTCTGTAGAGTATCTGGTGAAATAGATGTAGACTTGCTCTTCTCCTCCCTGGCTACTTGAGGGTCACCACCACCATGACTGACACAGTTACTAGTCAGACCAGATGGCCATCACCAATTGGCTACGTCATCGGAAACAGTCATTGATATCCTTCACCCTGAGAAGGTGACAGTTATTGAAAAACTATCCAAAATGTACAAGCTCACTAGATGTCATCTTTGTGTTTGGATTCAGAACTTGTTCTGGTGGTGGAGAGACAAGGGGGTTGAGCGTGAGTCATGATTCCTTGGCTTATGAAAAGAATGACTAAGACACAGACTTGCAAGAAACATCACAGTTTAAACAGGTCTAACCTTTTGACACTATGACATGATAGTGTCCTTTGCAAAGCTCATGCCCAAGAACTAGGTAATGAAGTTACAACAACAACAATCTCGTGTTTTAATCAAGTTTACAGTTTTTCGTTAGGCCACACTCAAAATAGCCAGTACCTCTGCTGGTGCAAGCCTTTAATCCCAGCACTCAGGAGGCAGAAGCAGGCAGATCTCTGTGAGTTTGAGAACAGCCTAGTCTACAAAGCTACACAGAGAAACCCTTTCTTGAAAAATAAAAACAAAGAAAGAAAGAGAGAGAGAAAGAAAGAAAGAGAGAAAGAAAAGAAAAGGAAAGGAAAGAAATTAAATGCCTTCAACAATCCATTGGTCCAGACTTGTCACATGACTCTGTCCCACCAAGGAGTACAATCCATGCCTGTGTCCAGCAAGTAGAAAGTCAAAACAGTTTGTGAGAATGTATGTAGCACAGTTTGCCCTTAAGATCACCAGAAGGGCCATTCGCTGTCCTTTCAGACAAACATATCCATTCTCTCCCCAGTGATGGTAAATCGGGTAGCCCATGATATGTGCCATCCCTACTACAGGTCTGGGTGTAACTTACCTAAGTGTGCCCAAAATACAACATCCGAGAGCCACCTCTGCACACAGAATACCACCACAGCACTCCCAGTCAGCAAGGGACGAGATAACGGACTTTCGCAGCCAATGGTCTGTGGAGATCCCGGCATTTCGCTATGAAGCCTCCACCAGCAGTGGGCCTGACTCCCTGCAGGAGCTTCCTACTCATAGCTTTGTTTCCACGGTTTTTGAGCTCCTTTTCCACTATCTCCTATGACATTATTTGAAGGTTAGATGGCTTCTTCAGCCTACTTCTCACCAGAAGAAAGCTGCAAGCTGGTTTTACATAGTCACAGACTTACGATTTCTTAAGCACAAAAGTACTCTTAAGCATTCAACAAAAACAAAAAATACCATGGTTCTTCTCTATATGAACAACTTAGATTCTTTTTGCATTCTGACATTCAGGAAGAGAAATGTAGCAAATCTGTTTCTCCCTTGTTCCTCATCTGAGAACCTGAGGTCTCACAGCTTTCATGAGAGAATTATGTAGTTAAATTATTGCTTGATGACAAGACCTGATGACCTGAGTTCCATTCCCCAGAGAGAGAACCAAATTTGGCAAGTTGTCCACAGGCAGTGTGGAGTATACACGTGCACACATGTACACACACACACACACACACACACACACATTACACACACACACACATGCACTCACACAATTTTTTAAAAAGTCATTTGAATTTATTTTAAAAAAGAATTTCCTAAAAATCACCTAATTCTCTCAGATATGTTATCCATAAATATGCTGGCCATACCATTAGTTAGATCTCAAGGCTGAGTCTTAATTAATATTTTCATCTAAAGCATACCTTAATTTTAGTGTTTCTAGTTTGGAAATAAGAAGCAGTTTCATCTCTGTTCCCACAAGACGGAATTTTTCTGTTCTTTTCATCCCCATCAGATACCTGCTCATCTTCCCTGAGCTCACTTCTAGCCTGCCTGGGGAAATTGGCAACAGCTGCTAGTGTATGCTGTTAGCATTTTGTATCCCCTAGCTTATCCGGACATTATATGTTCATTAGGAATAGCGATTACTCTGTTTCAGTGACAATTGTACAAAGTTGCATAAGAGACAGTCATTTATATAGCTCCCGTCTGTCTGTCTGATACCTGGCCTCCAAGCTGATACATGTTTTAAGCTCTCTTTCCCATATTTTTTTTCTTTTTCTTTTTCTTTCTTTCTTTCTTTCTTTTTTTTTTTTTTTTTTTTTTTTTTTTTTTAACCATCAGCATCTTGCTTTAATATGAATTCTCTCCTATGTCAAGGTTAGGAACACAAACGGGTTTGTTTATTCTCCTGTCACAGCCCTTGTCAATTTCAGTGTGACACATCAGCAGTCACAAGAGGTCACATAAAGAACTTGGGTAGTTGACTAACACCTTCCAGGCATCTCTGCCCATCGTGTGGTAAGGTAGACTTAGAGAACAGACCACACAGAAGCAGGTGGCTCTTCCAGGCACTGGGGACAGTGTAGGGCTAGGATGGTTCCTGTGGTGGTAATGGGAGGAGAGCAAATAGGGAGTTCCAGGCTACTTCAAGAATGAAGGTGGCAACATAACTGGTCACAGTGCTGAGAATATGTGACTGTGAGCAGTCATCCCTCAGTAGGACAGCCATGTCAGTCCACCCACCACCCCCCCCCAAGTCTCAGGGACTACCACGCATGGGAGAGGGGCAGAAAGGACATAGGAGCCAGAGGACGTGGAGGAGAGGTCTGAAGGGCTGTTTTCTGTTGCACCCACGACCTTGTTGCAGCTACCCTTGTCCACAGAAGATCTGCACGGGAGCAAGCCAACAGTCAGGCAGCATCGCAGCAGGCAGCATTGGCAGAGCTGGTGGGTTACAAAAAGAGGGGAGGGAAATGCTGGGAGAGGCCCAGGGGAGGGGGGCTCCAGCGAAGAGGGAAGTTGGGTTGAAATGATCAAGATACATTGTATAATTATAAAACTGTGAATGAATAAATAAAAGATTGTTTTTTAATTAAAGGAATACCACCTGGGGGAAGAAAGAGGCAGGACACAGTATCTGAAACAGAAGCAATTTGCGAATGATATTTTTAGATCAAATTGGGAAGCCCAATAGGTAGTTGCTCTTCTCAGTCACTATTGTTTTATTTTATTCTCATTATTTTATTTCTAGGGTATGAAGTTCTGCTGATAAACATTAAAACATAAGCACTGAGGAAAATAAAACACGAAAGCATGTTGCAAATGTTTCCCTCTGAGATCTCACTACACGTCTAAGTGGGAAATCTCATTCATGTTTGTCTCCAAACTGAATGGATGAAGATATTTTTAAAACTATATTCACTTCTTGATTTTAGGAAACATTTGAACAAAACAATCACAATTTCTTTTTAAATTCTGGGGCTGACAAAATGGCTCAGTGCATAAGGCACATGCTGTGGCTACTGGAATTCAAATCCTCAGAGTCCATTTAAAAGCTGGGCAGGATTGGTGACCTCCTGTGATCCCACCCAGCCCATGGAGGTGGGGGGCAGGGCATCCCCATGATCCTAGCACATAGAGATGGGGGCAGGGCATCCCCAGAGCAAGCTGGCTAGCTAGACCAGCCAGGATTGTAAGGTGTGGGTGCAGCAAGAGGCTTTACCTATATATTGGAGAGAAATCAAAAAAAAAAAAAAAAAAAAAAAAAAAAACACTGGACATCCATTTCTGGCCTCTACACATACTTGTACGTGTATGCACATACATCCTCACATTCACATGTGCCAGCACATGCAAACACAAACACAAGTGCATATGCTTAAAATGCAAATATATTCATTTATGTATATGCATATGTTAATGTGTAGTTTTGTTTTAATTAAGATTAATTATATTTTATATGTATGGATGTTTCTCCTACACGTGTTTCTTTATACCATGCAAGTGCATGATGCCTGGAGACCAGAAGCTACTTGAACAGGAGCTACAGACAGTGGTCAGTCACTATGTGGGTGCTGGATTTGAACATCTGTCCTCTAGGAGGATGTTCACTAAGCCCTTGAAAACATACTTTGAGATAGAATCTTATACTGTAACTCAGGCTGGCCTAGAAGTCATGACAATCCTCCTGCCTCAGCTTCTCAAGTGCTGGGATTACAGATGTGAGTCATTTGGTGATAATGCAAACATATGCTAACTTCCTAGATGTTCATTTTATTTTTAAAAGCCCTTTTCAGAATGCATCTTAACTGGGCTTTTTCTACCACTCATCTTTCCCTGGGGACATGACTTGAAGTGTATGGGTTTCCTCAGTGACTTCTCCCACTCACCACACACAGCCTGATTAGCAACTCAGCTTCCTTTAATGAAAATTCCAATCAGGAGCCACTTAATGATCCTGATGGGGTTTGTAAGTACAAATAAGCCAGGGGTTTGGAATAAACTGACAGGAGATCAGGGGTGGGGCAGGGACTCTAGGAGAGGAAAATCAAGAATCCCCATTAATGTCTCTGCTTTCCAAGGAGTACACAGGATTTCTACCTGGGACGCCTTGTTGGCATTTATGTTAATGCAGAAGACACAGCTTCAGAGGCAGCTGAGGGACTGGGTGTCCTGGAGCCTGGTTAGTGAGACTACAGGAGAGTGTTCTCTTTAAAAGCCAGGTTAGAGTGTGGAAATCAAAGGTAGTGGCTAAGGCTGGAGAGGGGAGAACCCAGGTCCAGAACCTGCAAGTGCAGGGGACATGGGAGGTGGGCTTCTGAGTCCATTCCTATTACTTCTGTGCAGCTGAATTCTTGAATGGGACCCACACTTCTTACCAGAAATGTTAGAAATCTGACCTTACTGGATATTATAGTTTCTTAATATTACTACTCTCATCTTTACTATGTGTATATATGTACATGTGTAAATTTGATGTTGTCTTTAAATTTTACTATCCATTTCTTTGGGTACGTATAAATAAACTACCTTTTTTTGTACCACTGGAACTTTATGCACATTAAGCGTGCACTCTATCACAGTGCTGCATCCCCAGAACTCTTTTCGCTGTTTGAACATGTTCTTATTAAATTCTCTAGGGTATCTTTGAATTCACTATCACCAGGCAGACCTTGCCTCAGAAACTTGAGTAGCTGTGATCATAGATTCTTGACTTCAGATCTGACTTAGAAAAAATATCTTGATTCCATGTACCTGGCCAATTTAAACCACCTCACTTTTATAGGGTATAGGATTCTCCTCTTCTGTAAGAGCATTAAAATGGAGAAAAAAGCAGTTTGGGGGCCCAGGCTTTCTTGCCATCCACTGTCTAGAACTTTTCCCCTAAGTCTCCCAATACACTACAATCCCAGTTAATTCATTCAGAGATTCTCTAGCTGCATACCTTAGAAATACCCCTTGGCATTTGTCTGTTCTATCAATTCTCTTTCTGAAATGATCCTGAGAACCACAAACCGAGGGATTAGGAAAAAAAACCCCACACCTTTGTACCTTTGTATTGTGACTGCAGATCATCCATGCTCGTAGGTGAAATCTAGGGAAATGCAGGTGCCTGTGATTGGGGGCGAAGCAACCATTGCATTGTGGGTATAATGGGGCTAGAGTGGTAAATCAGTTAGCATGTGGTACTTACACGCCAGTGCTTCCAGTACCAGATTCAGGTGTCCTGAAGACCATGCTCTTCAAATTAAGATCATTTCCACGCATGTAAGCCAGGAATAACTTCTGATTCTCATGGTGTACTACACCACAAACGATTTAAAATGATTCTGTGTTTCAGGTGGCTGAACTTGTAACCAGCGAGTTCTTTGAACAAGGAGATCGGGAGAGGTCTGAACTCAAACTCACTCCCTCAGTAAGCTTGTCCTTTTACTACCACCTATTACCCTTCTGGATGCCATATTCAAAGATAACTCCAAGCCACAGCTTGAAATGGGAAAGGATGAGAAGGAGTTTGGAGAACTGAAAGCTTGAAACTTTAACTAAACAAGAATGCTGACCATCTAGCTCCCGGGTTTCTGATTGAGACTACTGAACTACTTAACAAGCATTCCCCAAGCACCCAAGGCAGGTCAAACAAGCAGGTACAAGGGACTCATGTAGGGCAGAGTCTGAACATCTCAGAGTCAGCTCTGGCATTTCACGCATGCCCACTTTAGAACAGAAATAACAGCAGAGTTAAAGGAGCTAGCTGGTTTCTATTTTCAGTTCCAAACTTTCAAACTCCCCAGAGCAAATCATTTCAAACTATCTTTTATTTTGCTTTCAAACTGAAACATGGGGAATTCAGGTTCTGGGGCGGTTGGCATGCTACTTAATGTTGGATTACCTCATGCCGTCCTTATTTGAAAATGCTCATGAGAAGCTGGGGATGCTGTTCCTGACTTCAAGATAAGGAAGGCTTGGTCACCACCCTCAGGGAGGGACCAACCTCTTCATTCCTGGTGAGATGCTAAAACATCCATGGTCACTCTAAGAGTGGGCGAAGTATTTTAAAGCCTAGCAGTGCAGGCTGAATGAAGCACACGTCTTCAACGTTTGGAGATTTTAGTAAATCTGTGCATCTCCACACGCCCCACTTTGCTGATATTCATACACCAGAGAGGCAGCAGGACCCTGTCCTACCCTGAACAGTTTGGCTTGGACAGACATCATCGCCGGCAGTCTGTCTGAGGTTGATGCTCCTGTGGCTTACCTGTAAAAGGACACAGGACCACACCAGTTGAAACATACACTAGCAGCCTTAGTTTTCAAAAAGCAGGTGTTTATATGGGGATCCGAACACCATTTATTCTTTCTAGTGCTCATACCAAATTTGGCTTTGAAAAGAAAAGTATTAAGTTTAAGATATCCAGAGTTCATTTGTAAAACCTACAACCCAAATTTCTCTAAGCTACACATCTACATTAAAATAAAAGCTTTTTCTTCCCTCTGAAAACTGTTTTTAAGGCATTCTCTGAAGAGTTTAAAATGTAGCAGTACAGGTAATTTAACTAGATGAAGGAAAACCTGGTAAATTACAGGCTCAGCTAAGCCTTTCTCTGAAGACATGATGAAGTCAGTTCCATGGTGGATATACAGCCGTAAATGCTCCTCTCCTCTCACTAAAGGTTACTTACCATAGCTGCCTCCTCAGCAGAGTCTGGCTTCTGAGTGGTAATGCTCCTGAGGCCACTGCTCGCTTCCCCATCTTTTGCTTTTTAAGAAGCACCCCTAGGGTTCTGTTGGCCAGAGATCATCACAGTAACTTTCTGAGACCACACTGAAGCTGGGCCACAGTCAGCTGTTAGAAGCAGTGAACTGATTGGTAAAATGGGCTTGATCACCAGCATGTGTCAAACACAAAGCTCAACAAATGAGGGGACATCATCTTCTCCACCATCAGGGACCCTAGGACCTTGTTGACTGGGGGGAATATCAAGAGGTAAATAGTCATGAGTGCTCAATTATAAGGTACAAAATACTGTAGAAGGAAAACACAGGGCAGCTGGGTACCCCTGATCAATCTTGCCTCTTCAAATTTTGACTAAGAAGTCACAATCCAGAAATAAACCCTTACAATTATGGTCCACTGACTTCAACATGACTTCCAAGACAACTTGGTAGGGAAAAACAGTCCTTTCAGCAAATGGTCCATGACTAAGTGGCTATTCACAAGTAAAAAGAATTAAAGTTCTGGCCCTTCTTCTTACTCTACCCAAAATAAACTCATATTAAATAATAGATCTAGCTACAACAGCTAGATAGATCTGTCTAAAAGCTAAGATAGTAAAAGTCTTCGAAGAAGACAGAGGTCTAAATCTTAGTTTGATTCAGACATGGTGTCTTAGATATGATACCAGAAATACAAGAGCCAAAAGATAAAATGGCCAGAGATGCTAGCTTGTATTTTACCAAAATTATACTGGACTTTATCAAAGCTTAAAATATGTCTGTACCAAAGGATAATATAAGGCAAACAAAGAGACAATCTACAGAATAAGAGAAATTACTTCAGATTGTATATCTGATGTGGGCCTTATAGTCAGAACATTAGAATAACTCATAACGAAAAGAGACAAAGCAGTTAAAATTGGAAAAAGGCACACATAAGCATATCACTTATGAACATACTCATGAACAAACACATAGCCAAAAAGCACACAAAAAGATGGTTAAAATCTTTAACCATCATGGAAATGACATCACAGTCACAGTGAGGTAACACACTAAGAGGGGTGTTATTAAAAAGACAGACAACACAAACATGAATAAGTTTTCAGAGAAGCCCAGGATATAATGAGATGCATGAAGGAATGGAAACTAGTGCAGCTACTTTGAAAATCCAGTCTGGAATCTTGAAAATATTAGACACAGGGCTGGGGAGAAGGCTCAGCAGTCAAAGCACTCATGAGACAAGCCTGGCAACCTAAGTTCCATCTCTGGATTCCACAAAGGAGAGAACCAACTTCTGAGATTTGTCCTCTGACCTCCACACTCATATCAAGGCATCATCATCATCAATGTGAAAAATAAAGTTCAATATAAAAAGTTCAACATGGAGTTACCATGTAACCCATCCACTTATAGGTTTATCCGCAAAGGAAATAAAACACACCCATACAAAAACTTGCACACAACTGTTCACACCAGCATCACTCATAGCAGCCACAATGTGCCAACAACTCAAATGTCTGTCAACTGATGAATTAATAAACAGAATGCCATAAATCTCTACATTGAAATATAATATGACAAAAAGTGAGTGAGTGAAGTGTTGATACTTGGCTACCTAGGTGTACTTTTGAAGTCATGCTACACGAAAGAAGCCAGTCCTTTAAAAAAATGCACATATGATTTCATTTAAATGAGTTGTGTAAAATAAACAAATCTGAATAGGTAGGAATAAATCACTGATTACATAAGGCTGGAAGTTTGCAAGAAGGTAGAATCACTATTGTTGATTTGTATTTTAAATTATGTGCAGTGATAATTGTACAGTTCTGTCTGTATACTGAGATTTCTTGAAATTTATGATTGTTTCTACACAATATCCATCAGAAACAGAGCAACTAAGTAAATAATTCAGGTAGAAAAGAAGGATTAAGAAAATAAGTCGGACTGCTGTGGTTTGGGTGTGGTCTGAGTCCTGAGGTTTTATATGCTAAAACTTAATTCCCAATGTGAGTAATGATAGCATGGAAACTCAATCCCATTCCAATCGGGAAAGGCATGGCCTTTGGAGGTTATTGGGACTAGAAAAGTTCATTAGTGGGGAGCTCCATGATCAAATCAGTGTGGATCATACGAAGGGGAAAGACACCAGAAGACATGTGCTCCTTGTCTTGTGCCATATGGTGTCCTGACATCCTCAGGGCTCCCAGCAAAAAAAAAAAAAAAAAAAAGCCATCAACAGATGCAAGCCCTCCAGCCTGCATAACTATGAGCCAAACAAACCTTTTTCTTTATAAAGTTACTCTCAGCCTCGGGTGTTTTGTTATAGTGACACAACATGTATAGACACACATCTCTGAAAGGATGAGCAGGGTCTATGGAAGTCAGTGGCTCTCTCCCTCCTGTAGATAAAGATGTTTTCCTCAGATGTGGTAACTAGTGATATCTAACATACACACACCCTCTGTGGTTCATCAGTCTGAAGGATGCAGCCTTTCCACCATTTCAGAACTAAGGATGAGGCTTAGACCTGCCCTCATGACTGCTATAGACACCAGAATGATGTGGGTACCATATTTTACCTCGCTTTTCAATAAAGCAAGACAAGTTCTAACTAGGCAGAGCTGCCTTCCAGATCAGCAGGCACAAGATAATGTCATAGGCCCGGCCTTATTCTTTAAAATAAAAAGGGAAGAACATTCTCACTGGAGTTGAGTTGGCTGTTCATTAAAGGAATCCATTTTATCTGTCTAATTCCAGTTGATTGAAGTCTTCCCAATAGAAATAAATCACTCTGGCTTTTAGAAATGTGCAAAACTATATCAAGCATAATAATGTCATAAAATTTAAAGGCTGGGTGAAGAAAGTGATGCCTGCCACCGCCATCCATCCAAAGACAAGTACTTAGTAACCTACTAGTATCAGAACCTTACTAGAAAACACGTGATTGCCTGGCCAGCACCCAACCCTTAAAATCGTCATAAAATAATTTATGTTTAGTAAAAGGGAAAAAAGAATAAAAAATTTCTGTCAAGGATCTTTTCCAATCTCGGACATCTTCTTACTACGGAAATAAAAGCCTGCATTATTTTGTGGCAATAAGATGTATCTCCTTCCTCTTGACTTAGACTCAGTTCTCAGTGACCTGGTGACTTGATTTAGTAACAATTACCTGTACCTGCAGACAGATTTCAGCCCCAAGGAGTTGAACGCCATAAAGTTCAAATAAATTCACTTATAAATCCCATAGGATGTGAAAAATACTTTATTTCTTACCATAGATAAAGTGTGTGGGGGGTTATGTGTAAGGATTGTGATTTGTGGAATATTCAGTTGGTAAAATCTGAATCGTTATTTGACAAAGTGACAATAAGATACTCCAGTGAGTAAAAGCAGGGTTTCAACTTCTTTGTTCTAGGCTATTTTTGACCGGAACCGGAAAGACGAACTGCCTCGGTTGCAATTGGAGTGGATTGATAGCATCTGCATGCCTCTGTATCAGGTACTGCTGACTTGTGAGTGTCTGTGTGTCCTGCCTGAGATGAAGGAGAGCACGGGTAAGGTTTGTTCAGAAACATCTGAGGTTGGAGACATTTGCAGGGTGTAAGCTGTAAACTTGCTTCACACTTTGCACCCAAAAGCTGATCCTTCAAAGATGGGGACGTCAGTTCTCTACCACTTTCTAAAATGTAACCTCCATGGCCTCACCTTCTTTGTCTCTAATCCAGGGATTATAATATTTCTTCTCTGCATTCACCACATGGTGCCCCCATGAAACACAAGGCTGCAACTATAGTCAATACTAACTGTCCAAAAAAAGAGCTCAAAGGCCCAGTAACTAAGGAAACTCCCATACACATTAAAGTATTGAAGGCTTGGAGAAGTCTAATACCAAAGAAACATACTTAGCCTTGATTAACTCTTAATTTCTCAAATAGAATATTCTTTTTGCTTTTAATTTTTATTAATAACATGTGAAACACCAAAGTTTCATCAAACATTGCCTTTTTGCTCTGACCCCAGGGTCTGGACCACGGGGCTTTGCATGGGAAGCATCTTCCGTCTTCAAAATCTGCCTCCTTCGTTAAGCAAACATAACTGTGCCAAGCAGTGAATCCTGAGCGATACCACTAATGAGTTCTTACTTCACTGCCTGGTGCCGAGCCTGCCCGAGGCAAGGAGACATGTGTCAGCTTTGAATGGCTCACATTCTGCTTTTTGATTCCTGATCAGGGCTGGCATCCATTTGCACTAACAGTTCGGTGTACATTGACTTTTAATTCTACAGCTAAAGCATTTGCTTTCATCTGTAAACCCCAGTGAGTTCTTTACCCCCAACCTAGCTCAATCAGTCTGAGCCATGCTCCTAACTTCCAAGTGGGATGCACACAGGGAAAGTGAAACCGTTTAAGTTTCTCATTCTCTGCTACTCCATTAAGAACACAGGATTGTTTTTTAAGGACTCCACAACCATTAAGTCTCACACTTACCCACCACTTCATTTCCAGTACTGTTAGGAGCTACAGATCCTGTCACAGTCCCCTGAAAACACACAAATTAGAATATTGTCATCAAGATGGAAATGTAATTCTAATAACCACAAATGATAAAAGTAAATTCGCTTGTTCCATATAATCCATTAAATGTCCAATATCGTAAAATCAATCAGATACAGTTTTAAGCTAATCTAAAATCAATTGTTATGGTTACAAATGGCTATAATATTCTCTCATCTAATAATGAAAGATTGGACAAGAAACATTGAGAATGATGTAGTTTGTTATACGGGAGATCCTAACTCTCTTGTCTTCCTGTCTGCTCCCCAACCCATGATGCTAAATAAGCAGGCTCCCACATAGAGCCCACAGGTGCCTTTTGCTTTGTTGAGTTGCTTTTGGTTGGCCACATCAAATTATGATTTGGTGTTTCTTGGTCCCCCGTGCATAGGTATTAATGGGATGGATACGCTGCTCTTTTAATTAATAAATTCCTCTTACTGGAAGGAAGTAAAACTCAATTAACTTCATGTGCTGCTGAGGGCCTGCATGTGGCTCCCACACTGAGTCTGCTGTTTTCACTTCTCATCCACAGTTCTCTGAGTTTACCATGTATTTGCTACTAAGTGCTTTGATATCTCCAGGTTAAAAAGGGAGTTACTTGAAGTTAAACAGGAAAGCTTAGTGTTGAAGATTCAGGGAATCAGATTTCCTCAGTACATGACGTGGCATCCTGTTTTCTTTTGTTTGCATGGGTTCCTTGCTCGTCTTTGAGGTTAGACACACCTGCTATTTTCAATAAATGGGACACACAGACCAAGATGTGCCTACACCTTTAATTTATGTCCTTCCCAGCCCCAACCTCGCTTTAGTGAGGAGGCTTTCCAAAGGCCTGGTTCTACTTCTGGTGGGAAGTTCTCCACCTGATTTTTCTCTCTGTCAAAAGCCACATCACCCTAAAGGAGAACTCGGAGAAAGCGGCTCATAAAGCTGCTACTCACCGTTCACTGCTGTTGTCTTCTCGCGCAACAGGCAAAGGCAAGCTGGCTCTCCTTTGGCTAATTTTTTTTTATTTCACAATTTCAGCTGTAAATTATTTATAAGGCTTTGAAACCAACCATTCAAAGAGCCATCAAACTGCAAGTACAGCCAGCAGTGAAAAATCCTCTCTCGGCATCTCTATTGTGTTCTCTCTCGCATGATGGTGACTCCCCACAGTTCAGGGGACAATCTCACACAAACTGATGGTGCTCCCAAAATGAAACGAAATCAGTCACTGAGCAGGAATTGCAGCTATTGGAAAGACAACACTCTTAAGGAAATAGCAAGAAAAGTCACTAAAATGACACTGGTCCCTAAGGCAAAGTGTTTGGGACAAATAGGGCTGCTGCCTACTTGGCCATTTGGGTTTTGAACATAGAAATGGGATAATGAGGCTCTGAGAGGATAGGCAGGCAGCAACCGAAGTGGGCTGCAGACGGCAGAGAACCCTACTGAGCATGGGCAAGAGAAGCATTGTCTGAAATACAAAGCACTAGAGTCCAGTGTGGTCTTGCTAAGATGAATGGGGGATAATGCAAAGGGGCAATAATACTCTCAAGACAGACATCCCCTCTAATGGCAAAATCACAGGCCCCAAGATAGAAGACTGAGTGTCAAGAACGTTATGTAGAGCCTGAGCAAAGAGATCATGGTGGGAAGGGCTGGGATGATCCTTTGTTGGGAGCATGGAGCATGAGTGATAGAGGCTGGAGAGGCTGGAGGCTGCTCTGTGTAAGGCCAGGACGGCAGAGAGTTGGAGGAGGAGGGTGGCCACACAGCAGGGCAGGAGAAACAAGTATGGTTTAAGCACAGCTACTTTACTTCGTTGACTTTCACTGGGAAATTCGGTTTTACCTTGTGGCTTTCAAAGGATTCTTCTTGTTAAATACCCTAATTGATCAAGCACTTTCTGCTTGTGCTCCTGGTTGTTGAATTCTGATCTCCTCCAAGCAAAGGGGAAAGAGTGTCACTACTCAGGTGCCCGAAGGGTCCTTGGTGGGAACCCACACCAGTACATTCTGATGCCCATTCGTTGAAAACAATCAAAACTCTGTCTGTTTTACAGTGTTAATCTCCAGGCAATCCATGAGTATGTAGAAGGAAAACAGGGAGAATCCTCGCTCTAAAATCTAATCATTAGAAAACTACTGAAATAATAACTAATTGGGCAAAAGTGGATGACAGAAAATATGCAAAAAGTTATAGGGCTGGGTGTGTACCTCAGTGATAGGGTTGTTGATCCATTTATAATTAAATGCATGTTATGTAAATAAAGCCCCCAAACAAAAGCATGTGAACCCTGTGCACCCTATAAACGAGTCTGGCCATTTCTACCTGAAATGAAGATCGAACACTTGTGTGACATTGCTTTAGCTCTTACTGCAGGCCAGGTGGGAGGGTACAGTGGGACCAACCCCAACTCCTTGTGGTTACATAAGGAGACATGGTCTGACTGTCTACATGTGGATATCTTTTAAATCTTAGGGTTCCAAACTTTTGGAAAAAAGACAAAAAGAGGGGTGGGGAGAGACGGGGAGAGCAGACAGCAGAAGTCATGATTTATCTGTGACAGCATTTTAATCAGGCAGCATAGAGGAGGCCCAGAGCAGGCGGGGAGCATCAAAGCGTGTTCCCCGGGAGAAGTGTAAAGCCCTGGTTAGTTAGCTCTGTCCTAGCAGGATGTCTTGGAGGAATACATTGACATCTGATTCCAAAGCTCTCTGCTGTCTTTACACCCTGCTGGGGAGCCATTAGCCTGCTGCTCAACATCTTTGGAAGGAAAAAAAAAGGGAGAAAGAAGAAGGAAAAAAAAAAAGGCACTATCAAAGTTTGAAGTCACTGTCGAGGCAGCCTTAGGGATAAACAGAAACCCTCCTGTCGCAGTCTCATTCTGAGCTGCTGTTTGCAAGAGCAAACTTGAAAGTTTTTTGCCCTTGTTTTTATTCTCAACTTGAACCCCTGCATACCTAAGAATGGCAATGATGCCCAGAGGCCTGATAAATCTGTTTGTTAAAAACTGACAGCTTTTCTAAGGTAACCAGATTTTCATCTCATTCCTTAACTGACTTTTGATTTGGGGGGATGGATTTCCTCATCAACATTGCAAAAATGGGTACCCTGGAATTGAATCCCCAGCACCTTATAAACCAGCCCTGGTCATGCACAACTATAATCTTATAACCCTGAAGTAGGGAGATGGAGGCAGGAGGACCAGAGCTTAAGGGTAGCATCTGCTACATAGTAAGCTGGAGACCAGCTGGGGCTATATGAGGCCTTGTTTCAAAACAAACACACAAACAAGCAAAAAACAGTGACAGAAGTTCCACAACAGACAATAAACTTGGAATTTTATTTTGTTTATATATTTATTTTAACTTTGGTAGTAATGATTGTCTTGGAACATACAGTCCTCCTGGCGCAGCTCAGAATGTGCTCTCTAACAAAAATGAAGGACAAAACATCTTCAAAATATATTTGAGGAATGTAAAGATGGGTCAGCCGTTAGAGCACTGTCTGGTCTCTCAGAAGACCTGTGTTCAATTCCCAACACCCACAACCATCTGTAACTCCACTTCCAAGGGATCCTCTTAAGACCTTCAAGGGAACCAGACACTCATATGGTATATACATACACACATGTAGGCAACACACCATTGACCTAGTTAGGGACAAAAGCAACTTGAGGAGGAAAGGGTGAATTTCAGCTTATAGTTCCACATCCCCGGCCCATCACTGAAGGAAGACAGGACAGGAACTCAAGCAGGACAGGAACCTGGAGGCAGGAATTGATGCAAGGTCATGGGGGAATGCTACTTACTGGTTTGATCCTCATGGCTCAAGCAGCCTGCTTTCTGATAGCACAGGACCACCTGCCCAGGGCTGGCCCCACCCACAGTGAGCCGGACCCTTCCACAGCACCATCAATCAAGCAAATGCACGACAGCTTTGCCCACAGGTGGGGACA